CATAATCTGTATTCTTACTCGAGTTGTTTCAATGAAGAATGCGTCGGGCCGATAGTTTCTATCAATTTTTACAATTGTCGGCAGAACTATCGGTTTGGAACACATCAAAATGTATCTTACTCTATCAGCTTCGATTTACGGCTCTGAAATATTGAATGTTCGTCTATCTGTAATATCATTAAGAAATCCATTCGTTACCAGACTGTTTATGCACATAATTTTCATGTAAATGTGAATAATATTCATGTCAAGAAATGTCACCAGTTGTGAACAGAAAAATTCTTGTATTGAATTTCTTCAAGATCTCAAGAGATAAAATAAACTTCATTTCTGTGGTATGTGAAGCGTTCACTCTTTGCGATCGCTATATGTCTCCTTCATTCACACAAATACCAAGTTCACCGGTGTAGTAATGACAGAAAATTAGTGTATAACGCATGAAATTTGTGTTTGTATTAGTGTAAAGAGCGCAAATAAACAGCAACCGTCTAGTGTATCGATATGTTCATACCGTCTAGTGTATCGTTATTAGCGTCAACCAGAGATGACTTTAGCGCACTCAAGTGCGCTACAGCGCACCCGAGTATTTTTGTTGTTTTTTCGTTCTACTTTAGCTTTTTGGTCAAGATTTGTTTTAAATAATATTTTGTGTAACATAACGAAGAAGAGCTTACATATTCTGCCCCCGGTATTCGCATTGTGTAGTCATATGCACCTAGTAATTATGCGCATTGGCTCAATTTCGCAATATTACGCAATTTCTACTTTTGGGGATTTTTTCTTCATATTTTACTTATATAAATGTGGTTTTTCAAAAACTGTTTCTTTGTTATGTTACACAAAATATTGATACAAAGTTTTTTTTGACCAAAATGGTAAAGTATAACGAAGAAAAAAACAAAAAAAAACAACACAAATAGGCGGGTGCGCTAAAGTGATCTGTGGCGTCAACGTCCCAATGTGATGTCGAACCCCCACCCCACACACTTCGCATGTGTTCTACACTAATATTCTGCCACTATTACGTATAGCGGATTTGGTGTTGGTGTGAATAAAACAGAAATATAGCGAACGCAACGAGTGGTTATCATTCTACTGATAATTTGCAGATAAATTAAGCGGACTCATATTCGATTTGTTTATAAATTCATCGTGTTCAGTTGATCAGAGTCCGGTTTATAAGAAAGCAGCAGATAAATGAGCTAATTTAGTCACTGTCATATGGTTTCAAGCTGATGTTCAAGTGTTTTCAATCAAAAATAACTATTTTAAAATGTTCGTTGCCTCTGTAAAGAAAGTATTGGAATCTTCAGTGCAAAAATATTTGAAAACTACCATCAAAAGTGCAAGTTTCTCAGCAGAATCTGTAAAGACTTCGACTGATCATCGATACGTGGTTGTTGGCATTAATAAAAGTGGGAGTAAATCAGACTGTGAGCAATTGAAATATCCATTGGTTTGGTTACGTGACAATTGTCAGTGCTCAAGTTGCTTTGATGCTCCGACAAAGAGTCGCATTATTGATTGGACCAAGTTCGATTTGAAAAATGCTCAACCCAAATCAGTTTCCGTAAGTTATGTCAACCAGAATTTCACAAAATAGAAAACAAATTAGATGAAATAAATGAATTGAACGGTGACAATTCAAATCTAGATCAATAAGCAGCTAGAGGTGATTTGGAAAGATGATCATGTGTCGAAATTCGATTTCAAATGGCTGTATGAAAGGAGTTTCACGGCAGAGAGCCGGCAAAAATATTTAGACAATCATTATCGTCCGAAGCCAATGCTATGGTCAAAAGAACAATTCCAAATGAAGGAGTTCAAAACTGGTGATGTTTTTGAGAACGATGAAGGTTTGATAACGAAGGCTTTTAGCCATTTCTTCAATGTCGATCTTTATTTAAACAAAAGAGAATATTTCGTTCAATTGTCCAATCAATCTAAATTAATCTTCTCATTAATTTACAGCACTATATGATTGGTTGGAGACACTAGCACGATATGGCGTTGCAATGATCAAAAATGCGGACCTAACCGAAGACCAAGCCAGAAAATTGGCCAATCGAATAAGCTTCATTCGAAAGACATCATATGGCGAGGAGTTTATTGTACGTGCAGATCCCAATGCCACGAATGTTGCGTACACTTCGAATCTATTACAAATTCACACCGATCTACCGTACTACGAATATACACCAGGTGTAAACCTATTGCATTGCATTGCTCAGACGAAATTGCCCGGAGCATTCAATATGCTGGCCGATGGGTTTCACGTGGCCGAACGGCTGAAAAAGGAGAATCCCAAAGTATTCAAATGCTTGAGCACAACGTTAGTGAATTGGAGTGATTATGGCGCTGACGGTGGTACTCGCTTTGAAACTATTCAAAGAAGCCCCGTCATTTGGTGAGCAATTGTATTTGTTGGTGTACTTTCTTGAAGGCGAATTTATAATTCATTTTCAATTGTATTGTATTGATTAGCTTGGATTATGAAGGCAATATAACACGGATCAACCATAGCATTCCACAACGGGACACCTTCTTTTCGGTCGATGCAGAAGTAGTGGATGAATGGTATTCGGCGCTGAAAACTTTTGTTGATTTACTGCATGAAGAAGCGGTTTACTTCAAAACAGAACCAGGAGATATTTTGACATTCTCGAATATAAGACTAGTGCACGGCCGAACTGGATATACAGATACTGAGGGCAACGTACGACATATAGTCGGTGCCTATGTTGATTGGGATGAGATATATTCACGACTACGAATTTTAGCTAATGACAAACGAATGAAACGCTAAAAAAACACTTTATTTTACACCAACATTTTACTTTGCGTGTGTGTTCTAAGTGGGTTTTCAATCGATTGATTTATTATGACCGATAATTGAACCCGTGAGCATAAAAACGACTTATTAAACAATCGCCGAACCAAACGATACAAGAAAAAACTACCAAACAAAACACACGTTAAAAACGTAACACAGCAGGACGGTACCGTTCAAAACGAAACTCCGCTGTGCTACACATTACCGCTGTGGTACGTTTTGTTCGGTAGTTTTTTCTTGTATCGTTTTGTTCGGCGATT